TTTGTGAACAAATCGCCACGGGAAACCTCTAGAACAACCGGAGAGACCCTCCAACCGTAAATAATTCAGTTTAACTCTCACCCCGTTGCAGAAAGTTCCTTGAATCGATTGATTATTGCAATAATCTGGTGTCCCCAAACTATCGCAGAATAAGCCCTTTCGGTAAATATTAGAAGGAACGCAACAATAATTTGCGGTGTAATCAGAATTGATTGACATAAATAAAGAAATAAAAAGAGAAAAAAACAATGCGTTTCTAAAAGAAAATTTAGTGTTACTGGTGTACAGTGCTCGTCAGAAGTAACGGACCCCCATAAGGTAAGATAAAAACTTTATTTTTTTTATTATGAATGCTTACAATATATCCTGATCATTAATACATTGTATAATCCCCCTCAGCTTCAATTAACGCCTCAACCCGTCTTCTCATGCTATGAACAAGATTTGCGGCAAGATCACCAGGCAAGCGATTCCATTCTGTTGCTAATTGTACCTTTAATCCGGTAAGAGTTCTAATTTTTTTTGTAACATTAATTTCATCAACCTCCAAACATTCTCAATCGGATTTTGGTCGGGTGACATTGACGGCCACGGCAGAACTTCAATATCATTTTCCTCCTTCCAACGACTCACCAATTTCGAACGGTGTTTCGGGTCGTTATCCTCTTGCAAGATCCACCCTTCAGAATCGTCCCCAAAAAGATACTCACCGGTTGTTAGAAGACCACGCTTGTATACCGTAACCATAAATTCAGCGTTGAGATTCTGCTGAAAGCAGACTATCTTACCAAAGCACGAAGTAGAAAAACAACCCCACACATTGATTTCAATGGATGCTTCACAGATCGGAATATTTTTCTTCGTCCAGGAAACTGCCAGACCTTAAATAACGACTGGTTTAGACGAAATGTGCTTTCGTCTGAAAATATAACTTTACTCCAGTCAAAATTTTTATATTTTTTTGCCCATTCCAACCGTTTTTCTTTATGGACATCGGTAAGTAGATGTTTGGAAAGTTTCGCCATATATTTGCCTTCGCCTTCATGTAAACGTCGTTGAATAGTTTTCAAACTAACACTGACATTTTTTTTCCATTTCCTGTTGTATATCAGTGGCGGTTGCATTAGTTTGCTTCTGTGCAAACTCTATAATCTTTTCGTCTTGTTTCGGAGTTGTGGATCGATTTCTGCCTGATTTCGGTTGATCATTTAGATCTTTCGTTTCCCGCCATCTTTGGACCAAACGAACCACTGTGGACTTACTACATTTAACGTATTTAGCTGTAGCTTCAAGTCCAAGCTTCGGACCTTTGGGATGTATGTGTAAAAAAACGATTTCGTATCGTTTGTGAATTGGGATCGACATTATTTGTAAATATTGGTACATTACAATGATCTATGGAAAGTTAAGGGGGTCCGTTACTTCTGGCGAGCACTGTAACTCCTTTTATTATTTTCACATGTAATATTTATAGACGTACATGCAAGCAAGTCGAAAAAGATACTGAAATAAGAATTATACGGTATTGATTTCAATACGTACTTACAATCGAATTTTTCTTATAAATATACGTACTCTTTAAAAGTGCTGCTGCTATAAATTACAGTATTTTTTTGTCTAGAAATAAATACTTTTACAGATAAAAACATACTAATATGCTAGATTTAATTTTCCTCTGTTTCTTCTTGTTCATTACATATTTGGTAATCAAGTACCCGAATAGAGCAATTGGAACAAGTGCAAGACTCGATCTTAAAGGGCCAAAAGGACTTCCAATCATCGGCAACCTAGTATTGACTGCGCAAAATGCGGAAAGGTTCAATGACCACTTGTCTGAACTGAGTCGAAAATACGGTGAAACATGGTTAGTATTAGCGTTAAAGTTAATATATTTTATTAAAACCAAAGTAGTAATTCTTGATCTATTTCGTTATTAGCACATATACTTTACCTGGTATGCGAATTGTTGTGATCAGTACGCCGAAACAGGTAGAGCATGTTCTGAAAGACAATTTTCAGAACTATTTAAAGGGACCTCATAGCAAGCGTGTGATTAGGGAATTATTTGGCGATGGAATTTTCAATGTTGATGGGTAGGTAATTCAATGATTTTCTTTGTTTGAATACTTAACGTTAAACATTAAACGCGTATTTTCGCATTAATAATAGGGAATCATGGAAATTTCAACGAAAACTTCTAATTCCAGTTTTTCAAGGAAAAAATTTTCGTGAAATAATTTGTCATGGGTTTGAAGAACACACAAAAATTGTGCTCGCAATTTTATCAAAAGCAGCCGAGACGGGGGAAACCATAGATCTTCAAAGTCTATTCCTTCGCTTCACTTTTGACGTCTTCACAAAGTAAGCAATGCAATGCCAATCATGAAAAAGTAATTAAATTACGAACTCAATTTATCATATTCTATTAGAATCTGCTTCAATAAAAATTTTAACATTCTGACTAATCCCGAGAACGTGGCAACTTTCGTCATCGCATTCGATCATTTCCAATCAGTAATTATGAAGCGTGCATTTAATCCTTTATGGCCAATTCTAGAAATGTTCTCTGAGACCGGACGAAACAATCGTAAATATCGTAAAATACTTGATGATTTCGCGTGTAGTATGATTCGAGAACGACTACAGGAGCCTCTAAAGATGGAAAGTCCTACTGATATCTTGCAATTGTTTATGGATGCTAAAAACGCTAACGAAGAAAGCTTGAATGATAAAGAATTACGTGATATGATCCTTAATGTGATGGCAGCTGGTGAGTGAATAAGTTGTTTTTTATTAAGCATACGAAGAAAAATTTACATTAGCAATTTCAATTAATTTCAAGGACGAGATACTAGCGCAATCGTAAGTAATTTGTGTTTAGAATTTTTTATGAACATATTGAAAATATTTACCTGATTTGTAGGCAATGTCGTGGATGATGTATAGAATAATGACAAATCCTTCTGTCGAGAAAAATTTATTAAAAGAATTTGACTCTCGCGTTACGCCCGAGAATCCGATCTCTGACTATGATAATATTAGTAAATTCGCATACGCCCAAGCAACATTGAATGAAACATTGAGATTGCACCCGAGTTTGCCAATTAATGCTAAGGTAAATGTCAATATTTTAGTATTATTTATGTAAAAGAATTATTTTCTAATCTGTTCTGTTTTGCATAGATTACAGTAAAGGACGATATATTACCCGGAGGCATACCAGTAAATGCTGGCGATATGGTATTTTGGGCTCCATATAGCATGGGTAGAGACGAACACATCTGGGGTAAAGATGCTAATGAATTTAAACCAGAACGATTCTTGAAATCCGGTGAATTTATCAGGCCAAGTTCGTTTAAGCATGCTGTTTTCAATGCTGGACCACGAATATGGTAAGTTATCGTTATTAAACGAAAAAAGTTATTGCTTATTTTTATCAATTGTCATACGTGACCTATACATATGTTTACAAGTCCTGGGCAGGAGTTTGCAACAATCGAAGTGATAATTCTAATAACAACGATGCTCAAAAACTATAGTTTTGAGCTGTTGACTAATGAAAAAAAGATTACATATTCAAAATCGATTTTCCTGCCAATGAAGCATCCATTGATGGTCAAAGTTACTAAACGCGAAGTATCGGTGTCTTAATCCAATTATCATGTATAATTCAAAAATTTCCTTTATTGCTTTATTTAATTTTATCTATTTTCGCGACAACCTTTGCATTTCCACTTTCACAAAGAGACAGCATCGGAATCAGAAGTAGTGCTACTCTTAATAATGATGTTGCCTTAATTAAATTGATTACCAAGCTAGTTTTATCATCCAGCTACTGAAGACAATTATAAATTATTATTATACATATTTTAGCATTAAAATATTTCTATTTTTTTTTTATTTATTCTCTCAATATAATGATTAATGTTGAATTTTAGTCCTTAATCTTTATATTATATTATATTATAAAGTACCATATGAGGGTATTATGACGAACTAATAATTATGTTAGTAATGGGACCGACTAGAGTTAAGAAAGTAAATGCTGAATTGTCACGAACTATTTTTAATTTCTTTATATAATGACAATTACGTATGCATTTTTCTTTTTAACTCGGGTAAGTACATGTATGACGGATCGTGATCGTGATCGTCATTATTGAACGAAAGATTGCAGAAACGGAATGAAAAAAAGTAGCGGCTCAAAAGAAAGCCCCGTGAGAGCTTAACCTAGAGTAAAAAAACGAATTAGAAAAACAACAAATAGAAAATGAGTAATACATGTAAATAGAAAAATTCTAAATTCATCACAAATTTCCAATTTTATGTGCGCAAACGCGATGATCTTTGTATTAACATGACAAATCATAGCGATAGTCTTCTTATTTTGTATTAGCGTTAGGTTAATTCTAAATACGTATGCCATAGCAATTGGCGGTTTAAAATTTTCAAATTTTCATGACGATAATAAAAAGTTTTCCTTGTAGCAAGTTTAACTTCGTCATAATATCCCTCTCCCTTATTATCAAATATTTCTGAATTCGTTTTTTTTATTTGAATTTTTTATTAACATCGAAATATTGTCACCCATATACTTACTGCCAACTGCACTATGATACAAATATTTTGAAGGAATGACAGAGCGGTTGCTGGTTGAGAAATACGATATTTTTTTTTAGATAAAATATACTTCAGTATAGTGTTTATATGTAAAACCAATTTTGTAAAATTAGCCATCTAAGCGCTACCTATTACATACATTTTGCCATAGTTTAAAGTGTCGTAGTATGAAGTTCCAGCAAACTGGTAAATTATGCGTAGACCAAATATCTGCGCTCGTATTTCTTAAAAATAATTCATTGTTCACCAAAGATACAACCCGAATATTTGTGGCTTTTTCCAGCATAAAAATTATTTTAGAGTCAAGTTCACGACAACTAAATGTATCAGTAAAACAAGGAGTTGACTACTTTTGCGATTTAGTATTAATACGACGACATATTGATTGAATTTATTGTCACTGTAGATTATTAGCAGCATATTTCCTACGCTACAACATTTACTGTGTGGAATACAAATACTTGAAACATTTATCATTACCCACCATCTATATGGCTTCAATATCATTTCAATTCCTTACGGCATCGAGCTCATATCCTCCCCAAACTAACACATTAAATTTTGACTACACTTTCTTCAGAGCATGTTCACAATTTTTGAAAAGCTTTTATACTTTAGAATATTGTTTTACAAAGGTTTCTGGATGTTTTCTATGAAGCTAGGCCTGGGGAATACGCTAATTGATTCATTATACAATATCTAATATCAATAATCAAGTTAAATAATCATTGATGACTTTCTGATTATAGTTAATATAATCATAATTCTGGCTGAAATAAATATCACTGAGGTGAAAATTTATAGTATAATAGCTAGAATGAATCGGTTAAACAAAGTAAATGCTAATATTAATATAAAGTAGAGAATAATGAATTTTGAATGAAAAAATCAAAAAGAAAAAAATTGATATCAAGTTCATTCATGAATAATGAAATTCAAATGTATTTGAAATGAAATTTTATATTGGAACTTTGATAAATCAAAAAGACAAAAAAATTTGAATTCAAAAAATCTCTCACTATATAATTAACAAAATCTATAAAATTGAAAATGTAAAAATCAGTAAAAAGAAATCAAAAATTAATCATCTGGAAAAAATATATCCAAATACAAGACAAGTTTAATCAAATTCAATCTAATTTGTATTGAAGCTTTGATTAAAAGGATTAGTTACTGAATGTTAATACTGATTAAAGATGATATTTCAACTAGTTATAGCTTGTAGCAATTAATCAGAGAATTGCAACAAAATTATAATAACCAATCAGAAAATTATAATATATTTATAGTTAATTATAGCTCCTATTACTAGTACTAATAATGATTAAAGAACTTTAATAATAAATATTATCACTATTACAAGAAACTTAAATACCAAACTTAATTTTTAATAATCTTTTTTATATCTTGTTTATTAAATTTGTAGAAAATAACAAATAAATTATAACTAATTAATAAAATTTAAATGCATTTAAAATGAAAATTGAAACTGAAATATTCAATTTCTTTGCTTTGATAATAATTATAAAGTTGAGAAACAATAATTAAAAAGCTAAAACTTTTTATGTTGGAACTTTGATGGATCAGAAATTGAGAAAAAATAAAAAAATTGAATTTAGAGATCTCTTATCAAATAATTAACAAAATTTATAAAATTAAAAATATAAAAATCAGTAAATAAGAAATCAAATATAAAAAAATTAATTATTTAAAGAAAATATATTCAAATATAAGACAAGTTTAATCAAATTTAATCAAATTTGTATTAGAGTTTTGATTAAAAAGAACTTGTTACCAAATATTGATATTAATAATAACTGGAGAACTTTAATAATAAAAATTATTGTTATTATAAAAAACTTACTATCTGTATAAATATTAAACTTAAATTTTTGAATAATCTTTCTAATATTTTTTCTATTAAATTTGTAAAATAATAATTGAACAATAAGAAATATTTAATAAAATTAAACATATAAAAATAAAGTTCAAAACAAAAAAGTACACTTGACTACTTTTAAAATGAAATAAAAAATTTTTATTGTAAAAAATGTATTATAAAAGAATTTATAATAATTCACTTTCTAATTTTTGGTTTAAGTTCTTTTTATAAATTTATATCTTGTAATTAGCCAGATAATTGTTATTAAAATTAATTTTCTTTAATAAATAAATAAATCGATTAATATATTTTTAATGATATCTTCTTGCTTTAGAGTTTTAAGTTTATTTTACCATTAATTTACTTTTTAGTGAATTCAAAACTTTAATATAAATTAATATTTGAAATTGTGTTCATTCTGTTATTAATTGTTCAATTATTTAGTTAAAAATTATTATTAATATATCTCTGATCAAATCAAGTATTACAGTTCTCTCGAGATCATCTCATACAATTTGAATTTTTCATTTATTGGTGATTTTGTTAACTTTGAGCAATGATTTTAAAGTTAAAGCTATTTGACTGAATTTTGATTTATATTAACCATTTCATTGATCTTTCTGTTTAATAAATTTTTCTTAGAGTTTTCATTAATTCCTTTATTTGATATCTCAAAGTCTTGGCTATTACTATTATTATCTATAATATTTTTATCAAGATATTTTCATAAGTTAACCTGTTTTTCATAATCTTGTTCCAATTCTTGATTAATAATTTCATTGCTAATTTCCAAGTTCTTATAAGTTCACAGTTATCTTTTGCCGATATATTAATAATTTAATGAATTGTTTGAGATGTTATTTAATTATTGATCATGGATAAAGCATTGATTAGTTTGATAATTTCACAAAGAGAGCACCAAAATGTTATAAGTTAGAGACTAATTATAGGAATTAGCTGCTAATCTGTAACTTGGATGTGAGAATTAAATTAGATCAAATTATTTTATTTATTAGTTTTTCCAAAGTCCATGCCAATATCTTCAAATATTGTTGAATTCATTCATTAGTTTGGTTTCATTCATATATTTATAATATTAATAATATATTCACTTTTTCTGGACCAAAAGTGTAAATCTTTTAAATTGTAGTCATTATAGTTATCAAAACAATTATCTCATTTTTCTGGATCAAAGTGGTAAATCCTTTAAATTGCATTCACCTCACTTTTTCAGATCAAAGTGGCAAACTCCTTTTACAACAATAAATTATTGGAATGAAAAGAAAAAAGAACTTATTGTAAGTGATTATATTTTAAAGTTTTTATTGCTTTATTGCCTATTCTCTCGATTACTCTTTCTCATTCTTATTATATACATTTTTTATTTCAAATTTATGATTAAATTTATGATGTAATTTTTGGTGGAATTTACAGTGTAAATTACAGTGGAATTTACAGCAGAATTTACAGTGGAAATTACAGTGAAATTTATGATGGAAATAATGCACACCTGCGCATTATTTCGATCACCTGCATATTATTTTGAGTACATTCATGTGCGTTATTTTGAAATACGTAAAAGTCAATTTTCTAAACATGAGATTTTCAAAATAACTCCCATGTGTGGCATATAAAATTATATAAAGTAGATTTTTCTTCGATCACATATTTTCTATACATATAGAGTAATGACAAGCAATTATATTAACGATAAATAGCGATATACATAGTATAGAATACTTGCACATGATAATCGTTAAGAGAGTCCAGGCCGCCAGTCTTATATTTTGGACCAGACCATTCACATTCTGAGTTTGCTTCACAAGAATCAGTCTTACAATATACATAAATTAAAAAACGGATATGATCTATATAACCCATTTTTACTTTCAGTGCAATGTATGTACACGTGTCATACATCCACTGATAGGTGTGCGTTATTTCGGGATGCCCATGAGCGTTATTTCGAGACAATGTATGCTATTTTTAGAGGATGTGATTTTCGAAATAACGCCCATGCTCGTTATTTCGCGGTTTTACGGTACAGTGGAAATTATAGCGGAATTAACAGTGGAATTAAAATTGATTGTCGTAAATAAAGAAACAAAAAGGGAAAAAGAAAAAAATAATACATTTCTAAAAAAAGGATTTAGTGTTACCAGTGTAACAATACAACAATATTGGCACAGGACTTTAGAAATTTAATAAATAAACAATCTTGATCTAATTCGTTTCTCCCACCCAAGCCAAGTTACAGATTAGCAGCTAATTCCTATAATCGCCCCAAACCTGTAACAGTACATGTATATAAAAATTACTTATTGTATTGAATATTGCAAAAATATCGTTATACATGTGCATGTTCCTGTACATGTGTTACATGTATGACAATTTGACACCAAATTAACAAATGAAGAAAATGTACCGGTACATGTACTATCACTATGTACGTATTGAGAAATCTATTAACGTTAAAAAGTAACGACCGTTGCTACGGATTTGTATCGGTTTCCAAATTTGTGACAATTTTTGTCAATTAATGTTAAGTCTTATGCAGTATCTGCCTACTTACATGTAACGGTAATATCGTTTATTTTTAGCACAAATAATCATGATCAGGCAAATAAACTAATTGTTCGATTTTTGCTTTCTTAAAAGTAGCTTTTTTTTATTAGTTCTAGAATGAAACGAAATTTCTTGAATTATTTATTACTTGTTTTCTGTCAACAAGTGTGGCAAATCGTCGGAATCGCAAGAGAGTTCAATGAATTTATTTCAGACCCCATTAATTTTTCTGCCAAGGATAGCAAAGTAATACAAAATACTGAGTTGCCAGTGGTAATAGACGAGGTATCAGTAGCGTTACGACTGAATATTCTGAATAATCATCCCAATTGGGCTTGTGTTTTTCATAAAGGTATAGCTAGCTAGCTATATGTTGTGCAAAAAGAACGTTTCTTTCAACCATGCGTGAAGGTTAGCTAAATATGTATTTCGAATATTTCTAAACTGATTTTAATGTACATTTAGGCGAAGCAGACACTTCCCGTACACCTTCACTCTGGCTAACACCAAACAATTCAGCACCACATGCCCGCTTCTCGACAATCGATAACTGGAATTTAGGAATCGACTCGGTCGGTAAGGGGCTTTCTCTGAACCGATGGTACCATCTAGTTTACACACTATCTGAACCAGAAAAAAGATTGGATTTCTATATAGACGGAATCTGGAATGGATTCCAGAGCATCCAACAAGTCCAAACGGACAAAATCATATTCAATAATGGACCCCTGCGCATCGGAAATGATACCTTCTGGGATGGGATCACTGGCCAAATAAGGTTAATTATCATTATCGATTAAAATTGCAACACATAGATATTAAACGATCTTTTAACAAATAGTAATTTTCGTTACTACAACTGGCGTTTATCTGCTGAAGAGGTGAAAGGAGAATATTTGGTAAGACTTTCACTTTCACCATCAGGAAATTTTTAAAGCAGATAACAATCGATTGCTATCTGTGGATAATTGGCAATCTTCTCACCATTCATTTTGCCTAGTTGACCGATTCAATTTTTTATTCGTCAATTTTTTTTTAATTTCCTCACGATTACTATTTGCTTTAAAATTTGCTGATGATATTTGTGGTGTTCCTTGTTTATTCGACTGCTCAAGTTGGACGTTTTTTATTTTCAACTATTTAAAATTTAGAACCAATCAACTATATCAACTATATCAACTATACCAACTACGCAAACGCAAATACCAACCGATTCTATTACATCAAGTAATAATGTTGCTAAATCTAACGATACTGCAATTATGGTTGGTATAGGTGTAGGTGCTTCTCTTGGTGGTATTTTTTTAACTATCGCTATTATTTTTTGTCTGAATAAATCCAAAAAAATTGAGATTTTAAGAATCACCTAGACGTTTTTATTAAAATTAAACTTGTTGCCGATTATACTTTAAAAACCAAATGCAATTGGCAGATAATTTTATCTCTTTAATAAAGCTTGTTTAATATATTTAGTATGTAACCAGTGGCTTAAATTTTTATTTCTTATATGCCTAAAATTCTAATATATCTGACAGTTCATTTTTGTAGGTCTGATGGGGGGGGGGGTTTAAGTGGACTAACAAATATAACAGTGTTATACTATGGTATCTTGCAAAAGCAGATTTTATAAAATTTGCAGAAATTTGGCTATAATAAATACACACTTTGTCGTTAAAATGAATATCGATGTTTTATCAATCTAAACCTTTAACGCTAACGCTAATTGATTGACGCACAATGATTTGCATCACTTTTTTATTAGCGTTAGTTCTACCGGGTTGGAGATACGAACGTAATTCGTTAGTCTCACAATTTTGGTAAAGCTCGCCCGGCCCGGTTATATCCTGATCTCTATTGCTATGCGGCGTTAATTTTAATTTCTATTTTTATCTCGCTTTTGTTTTCGATCCTTAATTATATTTTAAGTCATCTCTCACATGTAACGGAACACGAAAATTAACTTTCTAGCATTTTTATTTCCATGACTATTAGTTTTGACAAAATAAAAAAGTGTTCATTTGAAACCCTGAAACCTCTAATATTTTTTAAAAATA